ATCGCAGGTGACCATTTTTGCGATCGCAAATTTGGTCGCAGGTTGCCTTCGAGGTTCTCTTGTGCCCAAAATTCATCCGGAAGCAAAAAGTGAAAACCTGTGATCGTAGTTGTGTACATCCGATCGCAGGTTGGCCAAAAAGTTCCAGAATAGCATCCTACTTTATTAAAAAAGGCCCGAGATGCGTTTATTTCAAAACCTGCGATCCAGGTTGTGTACATGCGATCGTAGGTGCACCGTTTTTGCTGTTGGACGTATAAAAAGACCTTATAACGTTCTAGTAACCTAAGTTGGCGATTCCAAAGGTATCAGACGACGAAAATACGGTTTTAGAGGCTTTTCTTCTCTGATTTCAACGATTTCTGAAGATCTGAAGACTGTGGATCATCTCCTTCAAGTAGATTAGTAAGATTAGTTGTTTAATGTCTCTTTTTATGTGTTTTGATCACATTTTAGCCATGTTTGGCTAAACCCTAGTTTTCAGTTCTGCAAAGTCAAGTACTTTTCATGCGACTGATCATTAGATCTGGTTTTTGATTTGTGTTTCGATCTAGATTCTTCATTTTTGTTCTTAATGAATGTTTGATTTTGATTCTTGTTAGTTTGATCACCTAGCTAGGGTTTTATCATTCAAGTTAATTAGTTAATAGAATCCGTAATTGTTCTTGTCAACTGGTAAAAGTAACAAGTATCAGATTTGTTCCGTGTTTGGGATTTGACTCTGATTTAAACTGTAAAAATCATATCTTTACGCTTTCGAGCTTGTGAGAAGTATTGGGTATTGTTGGGAATTTTACAAAGAACTTAATGCAACTTTTCTAATCTTAATTAAGAGCTTGTTTGATTAGACAGTAAAAAGTTAGGGTTAATTAAAGAGCTTGTTTTGGTTAACTAAATAAGGTAAAAGAGAAATTACTATAGCTTGTTAGTTTTTCTCAGTACCAGCTTAGATAGAACGCATCTCAAATAACCAAGTCAATGTTGATTGCATGATTAGGAAAGTCGCAGCAGAGCTGGAATCGTTTTTTTATTGATTTTAATTTAGTTTAATATCACTACAATTTAATTTTTAGTTTAATTCAAATCCCCTTTTTATATTTTCTGTTTCCTGACTAGATTGTGCCTGATACAAAAAGGCATTGATCATTAGGCTATGTCCCTGAGGATTCGACCCTGCTTCCTTGTACTATATTTTTAGTGCAACCGGTAGTGATAAATTTACTTTTTTAATACATGCATGACAGCGTGTTAACAAGTAGTAAAATGGTGTAATGTATCCCAAACTATACCTATTATAGTTTGTATGTACGTTATCATTTCATGTATTGAATTTTGTAAAAGTAATGTGATGTTCTGAAACTGTATCAACTATAGTTTAAATGGATGTTAGGTACTATACAGAAAACTATGCAATTTTGACTATATGTTGGAAATTACCCTTATGGTCGACATATTACAGAAGGGTTAAAAATATCTTAATATTTTTAAAAACCGTAGTGACTACTCGGTTTGTATCCATTGCAAAAGGTTTTAATTTGTTTGAAATTGTTTGTATAAATACACAAAAGTCTTCGTGTTTTACTTGTATTCCTCCTTGAGAACATTAAAATAGTCTAAATGTAGGGGTATGATCTCACCTCGAATGTGTGCTCCGTTAAGTTGTGAAGTGCTAACGGTGATCATCGGATTAGAATATGTGACAATAGTCGTATCCTAAAAGTAATTAACCTCGACATCGTATTCAAATTAATAATATATTAATTTAAATAATAGATTAAATAATGTAGAGATCAATGATTAAAGTGTTAAAAAATGCTTTAATTATGTAAGCAATACTTACAATAATTATTTGAAATTATTTGAAATGTCGAAATGGGTTGTCGGTGAACAAATAGAGTTTTCATTGGGAGTTTTGGGTTTTCGATCAAGGCTTGAAGACTTGAAGATCTTGTTGAATGTTCTTGGTGGATTTATGAAGTTTTGAAGATCTTCTGGGTAAAAAATTATGAGTTTTGAGAGAAAAATTGGCAAGGATTCGATGTGAAAAAGTGGGAAATGAAGTTGAATTTGGCTGAACACATATATATAACATTGGGAATTCGGTATTAAGGGGTTTGGGCCTTGTGGAATTCGGTCGTAATGGGCCATTTCTATGAGAATTCGGTCATGCCATGACTGAACACACTTCCTTTAATTTATTTGGGACCGAACACTACTTTGTGAAAGATTCCTAAAACCGAATTCTATTTGTTATTTATTTCCATGACCGAAAACTACTATATGTATTGTTTATTTATGTTATAAACCTTTTTCTTTTGATTTATATTACATTATACTAACCTAATTAACTTACTTTTCAATGCAAACTTAGTTACTGGTTTATAAATAAGCCCTAATGGATGTAGAGGTTACAATGCAACAAGGAGTTCAAGGTAGATTCACTTGTGCTAGATTAGGGTTTAGACTTTACTAGGTTTAAAATTTCGAGTTGTGACAAATAATTGTAGAACGATCTTTCTTTTGTTTCTCTTTTTGCACCGTATCAATAGTTGAACGAATCTTTTTGACATTAGACGACCCTCCATTTTGATTGCCCTTTCCGTTTTTCATTCAAACCCTTCCATTTTCCCTTATTGTTGTTTGATTCTTCCGATTTTGTTGGTCCTTTTTAGTGAACAAAATTTTTAATTGATTGTTATCTCTAGGGTCATCATCATCCACTTTTTCTTCATTGCCTTTTAATCTTCTAACCACATCTTCAAATCCCATGACATTGAGATCTAATACTTATTCAAGTGATGCAACAATATGTATGAACTTGAACCAAGGTAAGGTTTTAAGAAATTTATTTACAAGCTTGGGTTCTTCAATCGTCTCTCCTAGTACTACTTCTTTTGATGCTATCTTGGACAACATTCAAATTATCTACCGATTAAGTCTATAACATTTTAAGTATGTCGAAATCGGACATGAGAGTTTGCAAGCGGGCTTCTTGAACAGTTGCTTCTCCAACGTGACTCACCTTGATTATATCGCAAAGTTTCTTGGCTGTATCTTGATAACCTATTTGAATGATCAAGCTCTCCAGAATTGATTGGTATAATAATCCTATGGCTAAGTCGTTTTCCTCAATATTTATGGTGGTTCCCGGATCAATTACTTCCCAAAGTTTTTGAATCCTTATCACTACCTTCATCCTCATAGCCCAAACTGTGGAATTTGTAGCTGTCAACATCGGGCAGTGAACACAGGTTGCATCGATTTCCTTTGATGGTGCCAATTTCGAGGACTCACACGACATGGTGATTAGTCAAATCAAAAGAAAAACTTCAAATCAAAGAAGGTTGATTGGTACTCGAAATCAATTAGAACCAAGAATATTATGTCGATCACCTCAAACCTGTCGATAGAAAATACGTTTGATACATGGATTTTTAAATCATATTTTCCAGTTAATTCAAATCAAAATTTCAAGCGATTTCGGATTAAATCAAATTCCACTTAATTGATTACTAGAATGCAGCACGAAGAGAAACAAAGATTCACCACAACTGTTGTTCAACGAATGCAAGCAAAGAACGCGATGATGACTGAAATTGGAATCGATTTCTACTTTAATCGATTACCAGGAAGCGTGAATGTAGATACGTCGATCAAATCGTATCAGATACGATGATACAATGATGAGTTAAATCAGAAACTCTGATGAAATAAATCAATTTCTTTATGATGATTTTGATCAACTTTTGTCGACAACTCCTTTTGTCGAGAGAACCCTTCAACTCAAGCGATGATGAATCAAAAGAAAAAACAATAGCTGGTGTCGGCTATTAGTTCAATCGACCAGAAAAACAATGATCAAATATCACTGTTTGATCAATTTCTGTTGATCGTTGATGATGTTGTGAGGAACCTATTATCGAAAAAAACCTTTGTCGAGCACCTTAAATTAGGAACTTCTCGTACCCTCCTGTTGCTTCTGTCGCCAGATTCATCTTATGTGGCTCTTATACCAATTCAGTTCAGATTAGCACACAACGGTTATGGAATAACTCTCCAAATGTATTGAGAAAATATAACTCAAAAAACTCAATATTGTTTACATCATAGCATAAGATTAGGAAACTTAAACCAACTTGCTTAACTCCGAAGTAAATTGGATCCTAAAGTCCTACTTGATTTAGGAATTCCAATAAAATCCACCCAAAATCGGATTTAATAGCAGATTGTACATAGATTTGCAAAAAACTGATCTACCATATTAGAACCGGATTCAAATATCCTTGGTCTAAATTGAATTTAATACCAGATCGTACACCGTACATCGGATTTGCAAAAATACAAATCAAAATCCACCCAAAATCGGATTTAATACCGGATTGTACATCTATTTGCAAAAGACCGATCTACCATATTAGAACCGGATTCATATATCCAAGGTCAAGATAAGATTTAATACCAGATTTCACATCGGAGTTGCAAAAACCGAGATCAAAATCTACCCAAAGTTCATGTGAAACCCACCAAAAATAAGATGAGCAAATCAGGATTGGATTTGACGGGATCCTTATTATCTCATCGGGTTTTGATGTGAATGGATTTTCAATGACGAAAGAAAAATCATATTGAACTTTGATCCAGACGGGCTATGATCGGATTCTGCATTTGCACACCTCTACGTACCAAATGCACCTAAAAGAGGCCCTAGCGAACATCTCGCTCATAACCACTCCAATAAGAACGCACTCCAACCTTTCCTTTATTAAATTCCAACACTAATCAAGTATTCTTCAAACTCATGGTATATAGAGGTGTTCACATTAGGTCGATTGCAAAATCTTTAGTCACAAAATAAATGTAAGAATATATATATATATATATATATATATATATATATATATATATATATATATATATATATATACCTACTTTAATCCCATCGAATAGCAAATAAAAATATATAGAGAACACAAAATTCATATGCGAAAGAAAATATTTGGAAAGAAATATTTATGTCACTTAAAATTTTAGACTGAAAATTTTAACGTACACATCTATTAATTAAACAATAAGAACCAACCCGCCTGTTTAGCGCAAGGTTGTCATCTACGAACCACCAATTCCCACGCATAGGCCAGCTGGATAACCACAACGTCCGACCGGCTCTAGCCGTGCACCATTTGCAGTACTAACTTAGTACGATCTAATATTATTTATATATATAATATCTTTTTAAATCAAAACAAAATAGAAAACCACAGATGCATATGAACATCTGCGGATACACAGTCTCTAACTATGTACTTTTACAACGAGCGATCGATGTTACAATGAAAACATGTGATTAGATGCACATATAAACGTTCTAAATCTAGAACAACCCGACAATACGATAATAAAACACAAGAATGAATTTAGAACGTCTTAACTTAAACAAAACCATTCGTATGATTATTGGGCTAAACATAAAAGCCATCCCTTCCAACGTCCACTGTGTTTTCGATTAATCATCAGTGACCTTGCTTCGTTAACTTGCTTGTTCTTCTTTTTACATAACGCGAAATTTCTCCCTTTATAAGACCCAATTTCTTGACTAGGATCCAATGCTGCTATGAGAACACAAAAGGTTTAGTAATTAATAAAAAAAACCATAGATTAATAAACTCTAAAGTCAATATGATTTCATGCCATACCTGATCCTTCGATCAATGCATAAAGCATAAAATTCTTGAAATCTGACCCAAGAACAGGAAGGCGCCCACCACGAGCATACAACTTCAACGACGAGTCTATAACAGTCGACACTTTATCATTTTTATTCACCACAAGTCTCAATGGCCCAGAACTCCCAACAACATTCACAGTGATCAAAAGCCTGTTATCAACAGTAATATTCTTCGTCTTTTTAGGTGAAATCTTTCTCTTCAAAATAATTTTCTTCATGTTAAAATCAGTTTCCATAGTCGAATCTTAGGTAATCAAGGTAGGCTTTGAAGAAAGAACTATGAAAACTTGGAAACTAAGAGATTGGAGTGATTCAAGAATCAAAAAGCAAGATTTTAAGGTTGGGTATTTTGGTTGTCGGAAAAAATGGAGTCAGTTTGTTTCAAGATTTCCGACGTTTGTTGCAAAGAATTAAATAGTGGGATCTTACCATCTTATAGTATGAGAAGCATATATATATATATATATATATATATATATATATATATATATATATATATATATATATATATATATATATATATATATATATATATATATAGGGCCGGTCCAAACATATACGGGACCCGGGGCGAAAATAAAAAAAGGGGCCCTTAAAGACAAATAAAATAAAATTTCAAAAAAAATATCATTTCTTATTAATTGTAAACGCGTTCAATTAGCAATAAAAAACAAGTCAAATTGTTTAACTTTTGAGCTAGATTGAGTTTGAACCAACTTTAGGCCCTAAAAATCATTTAGGTAATAATTTTTTTATATATAAATACTACATAGACTATAAATTTTGGGCCCCTTGGAGACGTGGGCCCTGGACGGTCGCCTGGGTTGCCCACTGTGACAACCCTATTTTTCCCAAAAGCATTGTAAACATTCGAAAGCTAAAAACAACGAAATTAACCTCGAAAAATAAAGTGTTCAGGTATCTATGTTGGGATGCATCGAATATTAGATATCATGCCCAGGTTTCCAAAAACATAAAGAATACTCAAAACCGAGTTATATTGAAGAAATTATAACCACTCGTATAATTACGACACGACGTTAAAACATAATTTGACGTAAAAAGTGGAATCTCAATAAAATACATTTTAGCCTTAAAGTATCTAAACAAAAGTCGTAGATCTCGTTGAAAGATGAGCATGCATAAAAAGGTCGCCCAAATTGGACCTCGTATGAAGAAGTTACGAATTTTCAAAGTTTCGTAATAGTAGTAGAGGGCTAAAAACTCGGATTAAAGATCGAGTGTTATTTAGCTATCGCCACTAAACGGAAGTTGAAGATCTCCTCGGTGGTAATAAAACAATCAAAAGACAAACGAAAACCGACGTCGAATAAAGAACCTATGAAATTTTAACGAACTTTAGGAGGCCCGGCCTATTAAAATTATATCATTAAAAATAAATTCAAAACTAGCCGACAGAGTCTAAATGAAAGTTGTAGAGCATAATCTCACCTACGCGTGGATATAAACAACGCGAAAAACGGAGCTCGTACGCGAAAGTTACGGAATTTAGAAGTCGGAAGCAGGGATTACGCCCCGCGTACTAGACCCAGAGTCGAGTCTCATCAACCCGCCCAAGCTACGCTCGGCTAGACCCAGTAGTCCCATCGACCCGCCCAAGCTACATTGGCTAGACCCGAGTCGTAAGCCATGACGCCACTTTACGCCCCGCGTACTCCGGAAGTACGTGCCGCGTACGGGGTTTTCCAGCCCTATAAATGGAAGGCATAAGCTTCGAGTTTAGGCACACCTTCACCATTTCTCAGCCATTCTCCCAGTTCCAGAGACCATTTCATTGCCTCGGTTTCCGCACTCGAGACCCCGACGAAAGATTTACGTTGCAGAGGTCCCCGAAGAGCCAGACGACGCAACTATCCGCGATCGAAACTCTGCTCAACTCTAGCCCCTCTCTTCAAACTTAACGAGTGAGTTCATACCCCTACTTTTCAATTCTTTTTCATGTTTTAGGGGGGGAAATACAAGTACATTACACGTTAAAAGTATCGTTTTATAAACATAAATGCAAATTTCTAACTTCGAATATCGATACAAACATCTTATGTATACAAGGGCGATTATATCACTAAGTTATTACTACGAAATGGAACATACTATCTGAAAAACTATAATGGGTATAGTTAGCAAGTCAATCCTACATTTTATACAATTTGAAAAACGAAACACTTTCAAAAGAAGTAAGGTTATTTCATTGTAAATCTATTTATACTAGTCAATGTGAGATATTTAAACTTCAACGTACATTTTTGTATGCATTTCAAGTCCTGTATTATATACCATAATCTCTTGGAGGGAGAGCGCGATACTTGTGTATAGATCTATACGGGATTGACAATCCCGCACCTAAACTACTAGCTATAGTTAGACCGGCAGGTCTGGGGTGACAAATGTCATAACACTGCAACACTTGAAGAATGTTGTTACAGGCCGTCAGTGTCAATAGTATGGTTATAAAACTCACATAAAAAGTATAAAACAAGATTGATTTACGATATTCATATGTGCATCGCAGTTTTCCTACATTATATTTTCATACTAAATTATTGTCATCATTTGTTTATAAAAGTTACTAACACATTCCAACTTGGGAACCTTTTTCATTTTACAAGAAAATATTGGATTCTCTAAAAACCTCGTTTACCAAATTACTACAAAAAGGAATATATTTTTCAACTTGGAACACTCATGAACTCACCAACTTAATTGTTGACACTTTTCAAAACCACTTGTATTTCTCAGGAAATCAGTGATACAGGTAAACTACCCGCTTTTGGAAGAAGGAACACAAAGGATGTTTTTATCATTAAACATTTATCATTATATTGTAATATTCTTTTGATAACATGTATAACGCAACAATATACGTTTTCATTTTTATATATATGATGGTTGTGTTACTTTCTTTACAATATTCAATCGTTGTGATACTACGTGAAGTCATCCACCCCCGAATGTTTCCGCCATTCTGGTTTGGGGGTGTGACAGATTGGTATCAGAGCATTATTTATAGTGAACTAAGTATATCTAACCACATAAGATATACAAACTATAAATACAACGGGAACCAAAAACCCTCTGATAACAACATTTTCATAGAAATATATTTTCTTTTAAATATATACATTTTTACCGCACGTATCAGTCTCGCGTCATGACAAGTTTTTCTAAAAAGTAGTATGGCAAGTTGCAATACCACGATCGAGCCTTGGGGTATGTAATCAAATCAAGAATAAATATAGCCTGATCAACTATATTTATCCTGGATTTGACCAATATACGTCGAGGAATGGTCGTAGTAGTCAACAAGCCAAAAACTTATAAAATCTAAATTCGCTAAATTGAAATAATATAAGTCTATTATTAAACGATAAAACATTGCGCTCAGTAAAGATATAAATAGGCTTAGGAAGTCGTTAATTAGAAATTCTTTTCTTATAAAAATCTCATACCTCTATCCCAGTACAGACAAATGGCCGGATTTCCTTTACCGGGAGACCCCTACTACCTAAATCAAGGTAACGGCGGCTGGATAGAAGAAGACCCGGAGGAAGACCCAGAGGAAATCGAAGAAGAAATCGAAGAAGTCGAAGAAGAAGTCGAAGTTCGAAATCGAAGTCGGAGAGGAATACGAAGTCGACGAGGAGATCGTGGAAATTTCTAGCGGAACAGATTCCGAACCAGAAGTAATCGACCCTCCCATCCCCCATCCTCCAGTGATCAGGCCACATCAACCGGGACCCATTCCCATATGGGGAAGCCACCTCTACTACTGGAGCCGTCAGCAAGGCGTGCGCCTCCATTTGGCATGTGTCGGGATTTTTACAATGTCAGTGGAGGAGGCTCAGCTGATCGAGCACTTCCCGTTGTCGTGAACGCTATAGCTAACCAGAACTACCAGGCAGACCAACAAGCAACCAGAATTCGAGAGATCAATGCTGCTACCCAAGGTAACGCCTCCGACATCAGCCGTTTGGAAGGACTACATGAGAATATCCAAATCTACACGGGGACACTACAGAACCAAATGATAACAGCTCTAGATGATATAAGAGAGATGAAAGAACAACAAGCGGAATTCGAGAGGCGACTGATGGGAGTCAAACGGTCAGATGCCGAATCCAGCTCCAAACGCCACAAGTAGAGTTTGTTCAAGCTCCAACAAATTTTGATATAGACTAGGACCGCGGATAAAGTTTTTCTCTTATTTTCTTTTGTATCTGTAAACGGAGACCTCTTAAATAGGTCAAATTTTCCTAGAAGCCTAATGAAACACACCTTAGGTGTGATATATATATATATATATATATATATATATATATATATATATATATATATATATATATGCAGTGCCTCTTTATATACCTCTCGAAATTAATTAAATTGTTATATCTAATTTGAAACCAAAAACTAAAGTCAAAACAAATTACAAGATACGACTAACCCTCAACTACACGATTGTCAAAACATTAGAAACTTATAGTATTCATTCTTATTTTCTCTACCAGAACATGCCTCCTCGTAGAACAACACGCAGAAACTCAACTCCAGCACCACCTCCACCACCTCCTCCAACTATGGATGCAGCTATGTTCCAAACTGCTGTAACGGCCGCTGTAACCGCGGCGATGGCTCAAATGAGCAACAATGGGTCGGGAGGTGGAATAAATAGCTTTACCAACGGCCCAAGCCAAGGCCGTACTGGAGTCTGCACTTACAAAGACTTCACTAATGGAAAACCTATTCCCTTTTATGGAACTGGAGGAGTATTGGCTCTGTCCCAATGGATAGAGAAAACGGAAGCCGTATTTGAAATTTGCGCATGCCCGGAAGAAAGCAAAGTAAAATTTGCTGCCTGTACATTCTCTGAACGCGCCTTGACATGGTGGAACGGCCACGTCAAGACACTAACCCTGGTGGTGGCAAACTCCATGGGTTGGGAGAATTTGAAGCGAATGCTCCTACGGGAATACTGCCCAAGGGGCGAGATTCAGAAGCTGGAACAAGAATTGTGGAACCTTTCGATGAAAGGATCGGACATCGCAGGCTACACCAATAGGTTCAGCGATTTGATAACGCTTTGTCCTGGGATGTTGATTCTAGAAAGCCAAAAAGTGGAGAGGTACATCTGGGGATTATCACCCCAACTGCGAGGAAGTGTGCTAGCTTCCAAGCCCATGACCTTCGACAGTGCCAAAGAACTGGCGCAATCTCTTGTGGATCATGGCGTCTGCCAAGGAGTCACGACTATCGCAACTGAACCAACCAAAGGGAACAATGACAACAATAACAACAGCAAGAAGAAATACTGGAACAAGAGGAAGGGACTAACCTCGCAAGAACCTTCAAAGAGACAAATGGTGGCGGTTCATGCTGCTACTACTCCCGGCACAACTCCTACAACTTCGACGCCAA